GGATTGTGTTATTTGACCATTGCCTTTGCCGAGGAAACCAAAAATGATTTGAAAAGCCTTAACGAACTGAACAAAACTGAAGGGAGCCAAGACAAAGTTAGGCAGCGATTTAGTCAATTCATTCAGCTGCATGCGGACGCAAAACAGTTGAGTTTTTTTATACATCAAATTCTTTGATATGAAAAATGCCATCCGTTCTATCGACGAAAACAAATAATACAACTGTGTTTAGATTTGTGTTGCAGTTCACTTACACGTACCAATACATATTTGTGATTTATTTCGTATGGGGTCTGGTGTCGGTGTGCACTTCACTTCTTATGATTGAAATGGAAATAGTTGAGTAGTATTTTTATTTCATGTGTAAAATGGCTCAAAAATGATTTACTTTTGGCAACTAGATCCATCAATTTTTCAAACTAGATCCATAAATGAACTCGAATTTCTTTTTTTTTTTTTTTGTAATTGCAACACACCAGTCGCAGGACACCGTGAATTGGTCAACAATTCTGATTAACTTTTGGGAGCTCTTTTGGACATTCGCTGCGATGTTTTTATTTTGTTATTTTGGCCAAGATATTGCTACTGCATTTAAAAGTTTGAGCGAAGAGATCTATCAGTGTGATTGGAACACATTTCCATATAAGGTGCGACGTTTACTACCTTGCATCATGATGGTGGCACAACAACCCGTCTATGTTCAAGCATTTGGAGGCATCACATGCACACGCGACACATTCAAAACGGTAACTTCAGTTTTCGACTTTGAACAATTTGAATACATTCTGAATTGAATGATCGTTCACAGATTGTCAACACCGGATACTTTTATTACCAGGTACTTCGAACCATTGACTGAAAACCTTTTTGTGGCAATTCGTCGACTGTGGTTATTATTGAAGACTACATCTATGAACACCAAGTTCGAGCCCACAACATATACACAGTTTAGTTAAAAACTTTTAATTGCTGTTCATAATTTAAATGCACCAAATGCACTGTGTGTTTTTTCTTTATGTGATTCACGATTCAATCGGCTGGAAGTACGAAACATGTTCACAGTTTTCATTTAAAAAATTACCTACGATGAGATTTGTTTTTAGTTGAAAAGAAAAAACGACGTAAAATTGTTTCTGAAAGAGAATACGAGAGCGTTTTATTAGGTATACACTTTTTTTATCGTATTTTAGTACTTAATCAGTCAATCTATATTGTTCGTTTGTTATGCAGAAAAATATTTAATTTTCAAAGTAAAAGTGCATACTGCACAGTCTAATGATGAGCTTAATTTGGTTTCTAGTAAACTAATTTGGACTTGAAAAAAAAACGAACCGTAAACTAAAAAAAAGACTATATTTTATCTAAGATTATTGCAGTTTGAAATATCATTGTTGAAAAAAAACAAAGAAAATCTAACGAAAAAAAAAAATTGGATGAAAAAAAAAAAATCAAATGTAATAATTGCACATGCTCAATAAAATTGATTGTAAGCACAACAATTATTCGTGTTTCATTCGTTTTCAAGTTAGTATCTGCAAAACAAAACGGAAAAAAAATAAGTTGAATACTTTTTTGATGACGAAAACTCAGATAGAAGTTTGGATGTAAGAAAGGATTACAGAAAGCGAAAAAACTCACATTGGCAAATGAATGCGTTGCAAATTGCCTAATTTAACTTCTGCATTGCACAATGGACAATGATTTCGCGATGCGATGGCTTTTTCGATGCATCCAGAGCAAAATAGATGTCCGCATTGTGTTGAAGACACTCGCTGATGGATGATGTTCTCCAAACAAATGGCGCATCTGAGTTCGACTTGAAGACGACGCTTCCTAGGGTTAACAGCACTATTGACCGGGTTACGAAGTCGAATCTCGCATTCGATGACCACTGAATCGTCATTGACGATTCCTCGTTCCGGTTTAATTAAATTATGCCAAAGCAAAACGAACGATGCGTTTGGATTAGCTGAGTTGAAAACGCACTCGCTTACATTCTGTTTGAATGCTGGCTTCATTCCATTTATCGTTGACGATAAAAAGCTCAGAGAAATGGTCACATTCCATGACCAATCTGGATTTGAATTTTTGCATCGCACAGAAATCCCGAACATATCGCGGACATGGCCAGTCGTTGTACCAACTCTGAACGCGGATATTTCCCATGGAAGGCCACGTAGAAAGAATTGCGGTGAACAAGCTGCCAAAAGTTCACCAACATTGTACACCGTCCATCGATACGTTCCGCTTGACGCACTCGCACAACATCGATCCAAGCATTCAAATTCGGTGTTTCCGTCGCCGATTACAGGGCGATTTGCTTTTATAATTACTTCGATTTTGATCGCATCATCTTGCACAAATCCTTTTTCAGCGTCAAAAAGATCGGTCCAACTGATGAAATTAGCAATGCCCCAACCACTCATTGCATCATAAACATCGGGATTGATTGGCTTTGTCACGGAATTGAGGTCATCATTGAACGATACCAGCTTCACCAATGCCCATGCAGCACAATTCCAATTCGAGGATCCCCTGCCGTTGGAACAATGCAAAAATACACCTATGTGTTCATCGTCATTTTGAGTCGCAGTAAGTTTCGAAATTTGTATGTTCCAATTTAAATCACTAATTTTGACGGACGATGACAAAAATTCAGACATTTTACTGATGTTTGCAATCGTGATTTGTACTTTGGCTTCGGAAGCCTCGGTGTTTAATTCTTCGTTGGATGATTTAAACATGATGAATTTCACTTGATTTAAATCTTTGGACTTTTTTACTCGAAAATTGATCGTTGTAGTTTCGATATCTTGTGATAAAATGAGTGCTTAACACGATCAACAGTCAACCAGCTTGCAGTAAACTCTGTCTGGATTTTAACTTCCAATATATATTTTTTATCTTCTTTTTTTTTTAACTTTCAAATATCGTTTGAAAATCAAATTTTTATAAAAATTTCGATATCACGGCCCGTACAAATATTTTTCTTTGTAAAATGATTGAAATTTGGAAATTGAATGAACGAAAACCAAAATCAGAACTGACGAAAGAACGATGTATTTTCAACGATAGTCGCACTGTGAATGATCGCATTCCGAATTTTTCGAGCAAACGACAGCGGAACGCAAGCCTAACACTTGAGCCGAGATTTTTGACGCTCAATTCGGATTTGCCACACCGAATTCTTTTCTACGAAATTATTCAATATTTTCACTACATTTGGATTTCAAGCGAACCGAGTTCAAGAGCGTGAAATGAAAATGAAACCCAAACTCATTTCAAATATTTTTACGACTTACAGAGAAATGTGCGTGTGTCACCAGATAAATGAATCGAATGTGCGAGAGTTATTTGAGAACAAACGCAATGCATTGTTTCAATTCTGCTCTTGACCACCAACAATCGTCGTATGTAGTGTAAAACTAGAAGAAAGTAAGAGACACGATTTCATGTGGTCTCCCATCGCCATCCTTAACGATGGAAAGTGAAAGATGAGATAGTCAAAATAAACACATGAAACTCTAAGCGCTCAAAATATTATCGCATTTGTTTTTATGCTGCAAGGGCTGATGAACAATGAAATTGCTACAAGCATTTGACGTTAACTATGGCAACAACATCTGTTTCAAGTACCAAAGAATCTAAATAACCACTACCCATTCGAATGACTCTCCAAATTACGTATTCTCTTCATGTGCAGCTCTGAATCGAGCTGAACAGTTGAACCACCGCCGGATTTTTTTTTTAAACAAAAAAATGGTATGGTTTCATGTGTTTTTATGTGCATTTAATTAGAAAATGAAGAAAAAAAAATTGTGAATCGTAAAAAAAATGATGTGTATGATTGAAAAATACGACATGGTTGTGATGCACCATTTTTTGGTTTAAAACCAGTTAAACATTTGTGTACTGAAAGCATTATTCGATGTTGGAAGGAAATATGAATTCTTCAGAAGAAATTTTTTTGCATTCTGCACATTTTTCCGTTTGAAGGTGCTGTACATACTGCAGGCAAATATGTACTGCTTGGAGACACAAGCAAAGTGAAATAGAAGCCAAAAGGAATGTCACACGGATTGAATGTGATTATTTCGTAAGCGAGTGATGAAATAATTGGTGTAAACAATAGCAACAACTACGTAAAAGTGGCACAGTTCTAGCAAATACGCGCACTGATCGCTGACGACATGCCATAAAGGAATCTTAAAAGGCAATCCACAGCGGTATACAAGGCAAAAATTCTGGTAACATTCATCGCTGAGATTCTAATTCAAAAAGTAAATTCCATTTGAATTCCTTTGCGGCGTGTGTGTGTGTGTGTGTGTGAGAGTGAGAGAGAGAGTACGTGCTTGTGTTATTTGTACCGTACAAATCGGCAAAATAACCCTTTGGTTTTTTCTGTGTTTACTATATCAGTTTGTTTTCCCGTTTTTCTCTCTTTCTGTTTGTGTGTGTGCGCGCGCTACTTAATGAAATTGTTTTATGGTTTGGATAACGATATGGTAAATTCATACAGGATATTAATATTAAATCTCTTCATTGTTTTTTATAGTTTACATTCTTCATTCGGATTCAACCGCATGTGACATGGTTATCGAAGTGAATATTTATTTGATTTGTAATATTTGGTGGCGCTCCTCTTTTCATAGCTGGATGGGCCAGTCATTCTGCATACAGTATAAAGTATCAACGTATGTACAAATCCACTTGATTCGAATGATCAGTCGCTACACATACACAATTCCAACGGGGGCTGTATTGATATCCTGTTTATTGAAGTTGGTACGAAATCATTTTTTTAAAACCCAAAACAGAGTCGATTCTTGAATTACCGAATTCTTTTAAAAGACATTTTAAAAGAAAATGAGGTGATTTTGAGCCGTATCGAATATTTTTTTCAGTCTTTTCAACCAACGCTACAAGAAAAAAAGCCATCAAAGATAAAAAAGGAAGAAAGTTCTGTGGCATAAATAATGAAATGAAACAGCACATTTTCTAGTTAAATCCATGCACGGAATTGCTTTAATCAGAATAAGAAGAAAATGGCAAGCTACATCTATTTCATTTTTGTTTTGTTTTCAATGGGTTTTAAGTATTTTTTTTTGTCTTTTGTTTTTTGTTCATCACACTACGAACTATTCATTTCTATCAAATAATTTGTTTTTTTTTTCTCTTTGAACATTTTCTTGTGTTTTTTGTTTTTCGTTCCTAATGGAGACAATTCTTGATATTAAAATGAACTATTCCTGAGTTAGAACTAACAAAATATATGAACTATTGAACTAGTGCATGAATTTAAAACTATATTCAGAGCGTTGAGTATAATGTCAAAATATAGACAATGGATCGATCAACTGTTTCCGTTACTTTTACAGTCAAGAAATGGTTCTTCCAAAGAAAAAGGATGTGAGTAATAACATGTGCCAATTATTTTGTGTACAATGATTTTAAAATTCAAGTTTTTCTATCATAAAATTAAGAAATAAAATACAAAATATTTTAATTAAGGGATGGCTAAGTTTTTTTTTCTGAAACTTTTTTGGAATTTTTAAATTTGTTTTTCTCATTTTTCTTTTTATTGATTTTTTTCTATTCTTTTTTTGTACTGTTTGATGATCCATGAGTCTGTTGTGGTATTTATTTCATTCGGGTAAATATTAACTCCTTTTAACTTATGGTAGAAAAATTCGAATCAAGCTATTTGAATTGGCAGCCGTGTTGCATAGAGGGCAAGATTGGCGCTGTGCAATGGCATGTTGTATACAATCGGAACAACACCAATGGCCACATGAAATAGCGAATGTTTGTAGATCATCCACATTTCGTAGGCAAACTGGGCACTCAAATCCGATTCGTTGACCATGTCCCGATTCGTCGACACTGTCGTTATTTGCATCTCCTTCTTCTTCTTCAGATTTCACGGAACATTTTTTCGATGACTTAAACGGGATCGCGCATTCATACATCGACATCAACGCACCGAGCATCGATGCCATAGTGAACGGAGAAACTGCAAACGAATTGTTGGTGTAGTAGTGTGGGTTGCGGCAGTAGAGTGCTTCTTGCATCTCAACAGTTTTCGTTATACTGGCCATTGTGCGTGCGTTGATTTCCTCACAGAGAACGAAGTGACTGCGATCGAATTCGAACGTTGTATGAACACTATAGAAAAAGTAAAGAGGGTTAAATACCAACCATTAGACCATCGCAACGGTATGATCAGAACTCATGCACGCATCCGTATGCACTGATCACCGTGAAGCTGGTGAAGACCTGCATACGCATGTCTGCAAACCGATTGCACACAAAATCGTTCACCATCCCTTTGTGCTTCATTTGGTAATACATTTCTCAAATATCCCATGCAATACTTTACCGAACAATATTCGCTTCACTGCAGTGAATGAAAATGTTTGAGTACGCTTTCAGACAACAATTGGTCTCATTTCTTGTAGATCTTTTGGCATTGCTGACATCTGATTTTGAATGATGCAATCCCTTTTGCTTATTCTGACACCATTGACTCTGTTTTTCGTCGACTGAAACTAAAACGATACATGTGTTTGTACATTTTTGGCTGCTAAAGAGTTAGAATGCATCATGTGTTTCATAACTTTGGCAATAAATATGAACACTAAATGCAACAGACTATGAGAAAGAATATGAGATCGAAAAGCATTACCTTCGCTCATTTGAATGATCGTTAACATTCAGTTGGACATTGCTCTTCACGCATTTGACTATGAAACGCACTTTTGTCGCTGCATTTATCTGTTTAATGACCTGACACGGTGATTTTTGATCAGGCACACCGATTGACTTGTGTAGACGACGAATAGGTATTCAAAGATGAAGTTTTGAAATTTTTTTTTAACCTGTTGAACAGAAAAACGATAACCTCAATAAACCAAACAATTTGTTTATTATTTTTCATGTTTTTTTTTTATCCTCATTTATTTCTTTTTAATATTCGAGAATCCAAAAACTTTCACTTTAGTCCAAATTCTGAAGATTAAAATTCTTTTTTTAACGTTGGATTCAAAATTTTGTTCACTTCAACACTCATAACTTGAAAAAATGCACGAAATTCTTTGACACAAGTTTAAGCCGACACTTACCCAGAAAAGATGAAAAAAAATTGATAAAAATGAGAAAAAAATGGACTTAGCAAACAACGGTTTTGATTTCGAAGAACAATAACTGTTTTCTACTTGAAGATCGATTTTTTTCTCTTCATAATTTGGGTTTTTTCCTCTTCTTTCTGTGTTAAAAAAAAAGGAAATAAAGCACAAAACGTTTGAAAAATGCGATATAGAAGAGCAAAGAGTGAGTTTGAACTTGACAACTCGATGGTTGAAAAGAAACTGAATTCATGTAACGAACAAATGAAGGAAGAACCCCCAAATCCGAAAAAAAACCGGCCGAACATTTCTTATAGTCATCGGCGTTTGTATATTCCACTGCTTTCGTTTTGTTTGCATTGAGAACGAACCGAAGCAAGCGGTGATCTTGTCGCACACGCACACAAGTCTAATGATCGGTCGTATACGAAACGCTCATTCCACTTTACACACTGTTTCGTACGCTTGAGCAATATGCACTCAAGTGAGCAAAACGACTCCATTTGACTTTTAATCTTCTTCCAAAAATCCTGCTCAAATAAATTGTAACCATGTGTATGTGAGAAAAAACTTCAAGGGACATTTTCGGTAAGGAAAAGTACACATATCCAATACTCTGAACAAAAAGCCGTGAGACAAACACTTCAGAAACTATAAATGCGATGTTCATGTTCACTTTGTATTAAGATAAGAGATACCACGAACATACACACCAAATATAGAATCACACACTTGAGAATTACTAAGGGATGTATCGCTACAACACGTACGGTTCAAGTTAAACTAAATGAATGAGCTCACTAATGTTAGTGAAAATGAAACGATAGACGGTGTGTAGCTCAAAAGTGCGATTTTATATATATAAGTATAAATTTCAACTATCGCCGAATATGCGCGCTGTAGAGGTGTGTAGAATCGAAAATTAGACGAATCGCACCGTTTTCAAACGCTTCGACGATTGCATTCATGCTTGCCTTCGTGTATAACAGCGAACGATGACAAAAATTGGCTTCAAAATAAAAAAAAAGGACGTCATTGGTCTGAAAGGTTTGTTTGCACCATGTGCACTGCACATTTTCTTCTTTCATAATTATCAAGTCAAAACTTTAAGCCATGAATCTCAGAAATAATTGTGCCACAGTTTAATTTTAAGCGAACAGTTCTTGTCAATTAAGTTTATTGTTTTTTTTTCTGTTTGGTTTGAATAGGACTTTCTGGGTCATTTCTGTTGGAATATCATTGGTGTTGTGTGTAAGTTTGATTCAAAATGTTTATGTCAAATGGCAATAACGCCCAGTTATTGTGATATTCTCGGAAAAAGTGACGCCAGTTTCGTTGATCCCATTTCCCGCTGTAACTATTTGCCCGGAAACCAAAGCTCATGTGAACTCACAAACTCGACTATGCGACCGTTCTATTGAATTAATGGAACAAAATTTCATCGCTACGACGTTCCTTAACACCGTAAACAACATAGGACCCATTCTGAATGATATCATGTCACTCTGCCGTTGGAATAACGACGACACCAAATGTGACTCTCTTTTTAAAACAAATCTGGTCGAGGATAGTCTTTGCTACACATTCAACGCTCTCAATTCGCGAGAAATTTACACTGAAACGTATGTGAATATTTTCATTTTTTTTTTTCATTAATTCAATTCTATCAATTCATATGCTCAGCTCAGTTAGTGTTGATGAGCTCAGTTGATATATCATGCCCTGATAAAAATTAACAAATTCTAGCGTTTCGCTTGATTTGATGACAATGGCCAACAATCCGTCGGCCAAATATACAGAAGGCGGTTACAAAAACATTGATATTGAAGACAACACAACCTATCCGTATCGAGTATTCGGCCGAGGACACGTTTCTGGAACTACACTTATCCGACGGTTCAAACGATAGAAATGCCTCAACTTGCAATTGCTTACCAGCCTGCGTTTCAGTCAATTACGATGCAGAAATTAAGAAAGCGAAATTTGACAAGGTCAATTCATACATTGCACAAGAATATGAGGCGTCAAAGGGTGATTTAGTTAGGTATGTTTGTAGATCACAACTTTTGAATATTATTGCGTTGATTTCAATATAAATATTAATAAAAAATTTCCTATTTGTTATTTCCAGCGTGCAAGCCACACAATTGTCCATCTAAATACTTCAAGGAGCATCAATTTATTGCCATAAAACGATCCGAACTGTATGGTTATACTGATTTTCTTGCCAATTGTGTTGAGCATTATTGAGTGTATTTACTATTTCACATTTAACTTGAGCTGTGTACGTTGCCGCGAACGACAACAGTAGTTATTGGAGTCGATGTTGGCGACCGGAAACAAAATGATCCTGTCACTTTGATTAATAATGGTTGAAGCAAATACTATAAGCAGTGGCTACAAGCCATAAAAATTATTTTGCCCTACCACTTTGGAATCGGCACATTTTTCTGCGGAAATAACACAAAGAAAACTAGAATTATGATTTTTTTAAATTCAAGCTTTCAGTGTAGAGGATTCGTCGATGAAGACCACAGTTGTGAGGTTTTTTTTATGCCGTTGTAAGGATTTGTGCTTTTCAAGTGAAATCGAATTAGAATAAAGCACACCATTTGAAAACAATTTGTAAATTGGAAAGTGGTGCGTTAGAAAGCTTCCCCCTCTCTGATGGGTTATATGTAATCCCGTGTGCAAATATTGTAACTTACCAGTCAGTTATTTTTTTTTTTTAATTTTTTTTTTTTTATTGAGTATAAGGTGTAAATAACAGGAAAAATCCCTTTTACAATTTATCACCTATAGTTTGTTTTTACAATTTGATAGTTACTTTGGTCAAAGCATTTAAACATTTCAGTCAAAATTAAAAAAGAAAATTATTGAATTCTTGAAAAGTGAGTGAATAAGAAAAAAAGTAAATTTAGATTTTTATGAAAGAATGAAAAATAATCAAAATTAAATTCTATTTTTAATTGCATCTTTAAATTGCACTTTGCTCAGGCTCAAAATGTCAATGTCTGTAAATTTTCTATTATAGAGTAGTTGAGTTCGCATTGTTGGATTGCGATGTAGACCGTAGTCTGTTCTAGATGTCTGAGGATTGAAAAGCTGATGCGGTCTCCTAGATTGACGGTTCACTCTCATAATTGGCCTGTAGGTTCGGACCATATTTGCATCATGAACAATGTTGTGTAGGAGGCAAGCATCAAAGTATTCACGTCTCCCCTCCAATTCACTCATGTTTAATATTTCAAGTCTTTGTGAGTACGGTAGTGATTCATATTGGAGTTTAAAGAAGAGAAGACGAGTATACTTCCTCTGTACCTTTTCAAGTTTTGAGATTAACTAATTTCAGACAGTTAACTAATTTCGGACAAAAGTGACTCACTTTGATTGACATTAGTCAATCGTACTACGATACGTGTAGTGTAAGTCTATCAAAGTTAACTGAATTCGTTTAAAGTTACCAGTCAAAATAAATTGCTTATTTTGGGACAAAGTGATTTTCTTCATACAAAAACATAAATTCAATCAACTACAGTCAACTGAATCTAAAGTCAGTCAGTCATATATATTTTTTTTACACGGGATAGCATGCGTCTTTTTTTTTATACACCACACATAATGTGATGATAACAGGCGTATTATTTACACACTCAAGTGGTGGTTAGAAGTGCATAACGATAGTTAATAATAGCAGATCTATTGCTCCTTCTCCAGCTCGTTGCGTCTTTTTTCTCTTGTTCCGTTAGCTATCCAATAATCGAGCAATTTGAGCATGCGACCCTCTTTCGAAAATTCGCTATTCGAATTGGTGATATACGTTACAGTGTAGTCCGTCACAAACACCATTCCCTGAAACAATGATTTAACGAACCCAATCAAAATGCCAACTGCTGTATTTTTCAGATAATTTCCCGTGTATATTTTCTAATTTTTCCATTTGAAATATATTTTTATATATAACAGTAAATATGTGCCGAACCACATACGCTACACAGTATAAAATAAAATTAGTCCATTGTCCATAATCGTAATGATCTAAATAGAGTTTGTTTTTTGTTCTGTTCAAAGGAATGTTCAATCGTTAGTAAATTTACGCTTTCATCGATTTTATTTTATTATTTTGGTTTCATCATTCACTTTTGCTTCGCACAATTTTCTTTTCATGCGTAAACAAATTTTGTTGACAAATTGGAAACATAAAGAATTTGAATCGGAAATTCATGCTCCTTAATTAAAAGTTTACATCATGCAATTATCCAAAGTGCTCACTTTTAATAGATCAGCAATTAAATACTGCACTCAAAATGCCAATTTTTTCCCGTCTATCTTTTTTACTTGTTTTGAATTATTACCAAATGATAATGTTATCATATCAAAATTCGGAAATTTTGCTTTCAAAACCTTTTCCCCAATATTTTAGCTCTATTACATTAAAACGAGGATTAAAATCAAAGAAATATCTCAGAAAATTTTCTAATAGTAATTCTGAACAAATATTATCAATCGATTAATTTTTCAAACAAAGAAACCGAAAGTGTCCAAATCCAAACCAATTTTCTATAGTTTTTTCTTTCGATTTTTGTGTAATTGATTTTTTTTTTTTTTTCATTCTTTCTAATTTGTTGTCGGATTTTTTCCTGTTCTTCTGAAGACCTATGAATTTTGATTTTGAGCAATGTCGACTTGGAGTATGTTCGGTGAACATTTTGTCTACAGTCGTAACAGCATCATGTCTTTATGTGTTACACTTAGTTCTGCCTTAAGAAGCAATACTTTTCATTTGAAAAACTAAATGCAATTAAAACGATGAAATAAGCGCTTGATTGCGTGTGTCACCTTTTCAGTTTGATTCCTTGTTCAATTTAAACAAAAAAATGTCTTGTAAAATCATGGATTTTCTTTGTTCGATGGAAATATTCCATATCGTTCATTGGGGCTGTAGTTCGAGTGAGCTGTTAAAAGTGTGTGTGTGTGTCTCATTATAATATTTGGAATATTTTTGTTGTTATTGATATAGATTTTTGAGAAATTCGACGGGCATCTACCAATTCCGTCCAATTTCTGTGCTTATTATCTTAATTATGACAAAAAGAATTGCATTATTTTTAGATACGGTGATTACATGCTGCATTCTTTTTCTGGTATAATTTAATACTTATTTCGAATATTAGTAGTACACTCTTTTGTTTGTATTTTATTCTCTCATTTCTTGACTATTTTTGTTTTTGTTTTATTAAAATATTTACCCTGTGCCTTTGTTTGTGTTGTGAGTAGAATTTGCTATTTCTAATAATTCATTAAAATTGTTGTTGTTGTTGTTGTTGTTGTTGTTGTTGTAGATTCGCTATCCTTCGTGGTAGTAATTTGTGTCATCGTGTGATTATTGCATAATCTGGAGATGCGCTGTACATTCCCGTTGCATTTTTGTTTTTATCGTTTGCTTTTTGTTTTATTTCTTATGAGTTACGACTGGAGCATTGGCAAAAATTGTCATCATTGTTTCAAGTAAATATACTTCTGTGTTAAGTCTATATTATTATTGGTATCGCATTTTTTATTTAGTGTTATTGCGTATTTGGTTTATTCTTCATTTCTGTAGCGCACATTCATAAATCAATATGTTGAACAAGAAAAAAAAAGAAAAGGAAAAAAGGTGAAAGGAAGAGAGAATGATTGAAAAGACAGATATTAAAATTGTTCAAGATTTGAGCAATACCAACGATTGAAATTCAATCATTGAATGTTCAATTTTTACACAAAATGTTCGAAATGTCGAACGTTTGGTCAAGAAAGGGTTGAAAAATAAAAACAAAAGATGCAAAAGATAAAAACAAAACTAAATACTGAACTCAATGCTAAACTAATGGTGAAAAATACATTCCAGTTAATACTTACAAATTAAAATGGTGGTGGTATTGAAAAGCAGATGGATTTTTCAGAACAAAAACCAAAGCGAACAGATGAAAGGAGCGGAAAAATCATAAATTTACAGCAAAGTTAGGTATTAAATCAAAAAAAATAATTTTGTTTTATTGAACAAGAAGTAAAGAACAAAATTAAACAGAGGAATTGAGACGTATCGAGGAAGAAATACGAATGAATGAATTTTTAATTAGCAATTGATCAGCAATGTGCCACTGATTAAGCACATAATGAAAAAAAAAAAAAAAAACATAAGAATGACTTTAAAAAACGCGAAATTCCCGGCGATTATGCGCTACATTGAGTGTTTAAGAGTTAAGTTGCTTATTTGTTATTTTTAAGTGTTTTTGTCGAATACCCTGTATTGTTTTGTTATTGTAAAACAGGTTTGGATGTTGTGGCCAAAACCGTATGTTTCATGAGAATTCTGTTGTGTGTGTGCATTTCTTTTATTTTCTTTCGCTCTCTTTTTCTTTCTATTTTTCGCATCGTTTTGTGAAAGCGAAAATTATCTCGCATCATTTAAATGAAAAGTCCTGGCTACAGAATCAAAAAAAAAAAAAACAAATAAATGGAAAGAAAAAAAACGCGAATCGTTTTCATTTAAACACATAATTTGCATTTATTTGTAGAATTTTTATTCGATTACACATTGTCTTGGTGGTTGTTGTTGATTTTGTTTTAAGCTAAATAAATAAATAAAACTAAAATCAAATTAAATATGAGGGAAGCACTAAAATTCACATGATCGGTTCCCGAACAACACAGTGATGAAGGTAAAACCCAAAGATCAGAGATGACAGCGATTCCGAATATCAACGCAATGTGTGTCTGTTGGATTGACCAAGTGCGATTTTGATCAAAACCATTTTTGTTTCTTTTTTTGGTACTTTTCGAAGATTTTCAGTTTTGTGCTCTTCAATTTGCTTCTTCTTTTTGTAAAAAATGCCCCTTGCAAAACACTTTTTGATCCTTTGTTGATTTGAAAAAAAAAGAAGAACTTTTCTAAAAAAATGACATCAAAATCGCATCCCGTCAATTCCGTTGCTTGGTTGATTTGGAAATCTCTGTGATATAAATAAATAAAATTTGATAAATTTGATTGTATAACAAAAAAAAGGTGATTTCATTAAATTAGCGTTTGTAAATAGAAAAAAAGGTAAATAAAACGGTGACAAAATATGAATTGCACCGAAAAAATAAAATAAAAACAGAACTTAATGTTAATATCAACTGGATGACGAAAAAAAAGACACGAAAAAGAATCAGCCAGAAGAACGACGATGTGCCAAAAAAAAACGAAAAATTCTTTGGACCATCTCAACGCATTCTACGCGTCTGGTTCGGATTCTATGCAATTCCAATTCGTTTTGATTTCCTATATACGATTTGCTTTTTTCTTTTTATTTTCATGAAGAAGTTTAGTCGAATTGTCCTAAAAACAAACATTGGTCATGAGATCGGATTCTGTTGACCCAAAACGTTAATCGAAAGTCCTTGCCAAATGATTTTCGAAAAAAAAAAAAAAATCCAAAAATTGTTGCGAAAGGCGTCAATTTTCAAACAAAAATCAGGGAATGCGTGTTTCCAATGAGCGAATGACAAAAACAGAAAACCCTTTTTTTTGTCCATCTCCGGAATAAATATCGAGCGGAAATTAAAAAAAAAAAAGAAATAAAACGTAACGTTTCTATGTCGACTTATTTACATCACACCCATTCAAGGATTCTCTTGATAAATATTAACTAAAGAAGGAGATTTTCATCTGAATAAATATCTTCTCTTTTTTTTTTTAAATCTTGTTGTCCATTATATAAATATTGCCCCGTTCACAGGTTGAATGTGTGTATGTGTGTTTTGTCTTTTGTTTGCCTATTCAAGAGAATCTAAACTAAAAAAAAAATTCTCCATAATTTTCGCTTTTTCACATTTCTTTCTAACGCAAATTCCATTTCAAATCTGCCAGCTCCCGTGAAAAAAGAAACAAAACGATTTCATTTCCACTCGTGATCATTTGTTTTCATTTTACGGGGCGAACTTAATATAATTTCATATCATAATTTATTTTCAGGATTAAAAATGAAATCCGCCATTTTTTTCCTCGTTTTATTTACTAATTCACATTTATCTTGTTTCTTTTTTCTTAAATAAAAACGTTCTAAAGTAGTTTTTTGTGTTTTTTGTTTGTTTTGGATTTCCATGGAAAATTTGGTTTGTTTTGGGGGGGGGCCGGAGAGGCGTTCAGACCTAAACACACAGAAATCTTAAAATAAGTTGCTATAAATTGTTGTGTTTCTTTTGTGCGAATCGCAGGTTTTTCTTTATATTAGTGATCTCTCGACCAATTTTAGCCCAATTATACATATTTTTCTTTTATTTCTATGTTCCATTTGATTCAACACTTCTGCGTACCACCTTTTTCCTTCTTTTATTAATTGCACAAATAAACATCAATTTTTTTTTTCTTTTTTTTTTTCAAAAAATATCTTCGTATCAATATGAGAAAATCATCTTTCTGTTATGCTGTGTTTTTTCTTTTCTGCTTTGGTTCGCAGTGGAAAATAATCAGATTTTTCTGTTGGAAATGATGAAACAAAACAAAATCGGTTTTGTACATTGCACAAAACGTGTGTGTGTGTGTGGATTTGTTTGTGCCATTTGGGAGCTTTGATCATTGCGATTCAACCATATCTTAAACGGTATTATTTACAAAGCACAGAGAAAAGAAACATATGCAAGAAAAACAAAAAAAAAAAACATTGCAAAAGGAATGCATTTGAGGAGGGGGTCAAAATGGCCCATCCGTTTGAAAAATTTGGTATTGGAATCCAGTTGAAAAGATGTTGCTGTTGTTCATGTGAAAAATACTTGTGTTAAAGAAGTTAATATAAGGTTGCCGTCCGTTTATTTTAAGTTGTTAATTTTTCTTTACAAATCAGTAGCTTTTTGTGCGAAACTTGAGCTCAATTGGTTGAGCGCCAGCCGAAAAAAAAAACACCACGGTCTCCTCCGAAAAGAAAGACACACAAACAAATAACCTTCGTTTGAGAGTCATTTCGAGTCAAATTGCACACACACACACACACACACATACATTTGGAATTGATGTGTGTGTGTGTTGTTGTTGTTCTTGAGCGTGTTACTTGAAATTGGTTTAAGCTACGAATTCCCTATATATGGATAAAATAATTCCACACACCTCTTACTTATTGCTAAATACATGAACTATTGTATGTATAACTAATGTCTATAAGTAAATTGTTCTTTTTTTTTCTTCTTCATTTTTGTTATAAATAATATTTTTTTTTTCTTTCTTCTTTTCATCTTGCCTTTACTTATTTTTATACGTTTGGTTATTTGTTGTTCGATCATTTGAATGAATTTTTTTCTTCTTCTGTAAATTGTTGAATGAATTTACAAAAAGAAAACAACGAAAAATTCTTGTTTGTATTTTACTTAAATGTTTGGATGTTTTCCTTCTTTTGTTTTCATTAGAAAAGTTCAAAAAGTGAAAATGAATTGTATAAAATGGTGAATGCAAATGCAACCATTGGGCATTGCATCACATATCGCAAATGTATTCAATTACGTTGCATGTGTTTTTTGTTTGTTTGTTTTTTTTTTCTTTTCGGTTATTTTAATCTTGGCCATTTTGCTGAATGAGCTCGCGCCTGTCGTCTCGATTCAGTGGTAATGGTTGCGGCATCGGGTAGTCATCTTCTAGCGACTGTTTTGAGCGATCACTCTTGCAATCCTCGTCAATTTGCATGCCATGCAATGGTGGATGCCGATCCGGCGGCAGCAAATTCAACATGCTCAACGGCAATCCGGGAAAACCGGCCGAAAAATCGGGATAGAATCCAGGCGAAAATGGATTGAACATGGCATTCGGATTCGGTAATAAATCCGGCTCGGATGGTGTACTACGTTTCATTGAACTCAAACCACTCGCTCGACCACCTGCTGACGATTAATTGACGGAATTAGTTTGATGGTTTGTTTTTCGCATATTTTGTTTTTTTAAATATTCTTTTTGAAAATGATTCATACTCAATTAAATTAGAAATAAAACTGATTGAAAGTATGAACTAAAAATAATAAAAAAAATCTAAATCAAAGTTGATATCATCAAAATGAAATTTAATTTTTCATCAAAATGCAATTTCTTCATCTTTTTTCTCTTCTAATTTGATCTACCCCTGTCCCTTAACAAGTTCAATGTGTTTACCTTGATTTTCGTCCATTTCTTTGAGCTCTTTGTTGGATCGGCTGGAATTGTGACCGCTCTTCGACGGAGCGCCATTGTTATTCGTGTGTGCACCAAGGCCCATTGTCAGCAATTCAATCGGTGGCCCGCTGATGCAACCCTTTCGTAATTGTTCCAAATTCAAACTTTTACCGTACTTTCCGCGTACATACATCAATAGCGAATTGTACGGTATGCCAAAGAGTCGAGATGCTTGGCTCGTGGTCATTTTCTTATTCCAAACGTGATGCAACGCCTCGGTCAACTCAGCATTTGTCCATGAACGTGGCGGTCCACCGCGTGGCGCTGAATGTTGACCTTTGGGCCGGCTCACTGCAAATCATACAAATAAATAGAAAATACACACTCTCATATCACAAACGGACACCAAATAGTAGAAGAAAGAACTAATACAAAGTGCATCATCATTTTCGCATTCAATTTAAACGTCCGTCGCATTTTGAGTTCTACGGAATTCTCTCTCTCTCTCTCTCTCTCTCTCTCTCTCTGTGCCATTTAGATGGAATACGCTATCATTTTTTTCTTTCTTTCCATACTCTTCAGGTGGAAATCGAAAATCACCGGTAATTGAAATAATTGCAATTTGCGCGCGCCCAAACGCAACCCATGTCAATTTCTCGACTGTTTTGCGATTATCATTTCGTACATGATTCAATAAAACAGATTTTTTTTCTTTTCTTTCATGTATCTTAAAAACCTCAAACAGAACTCATGAACCAAAACGAACGAAAATAAACCAACAACAACAGGTAATTGATGGCGACGATGAAGCGTCGAGCGATGGACCGACGTGATGTGTGTATGTATGTATGGATGTGCAAAACACATTGACTGACTGCACGAAACAAATAACAACAAACAATGTACCAATGCACATGCCAATTTCAATCACAGCCATGCCATTGGTTCAGATCATTTCATTCTATTGCGAATTACTACATCAGTTCGGCTCATTCGCATCGCATTGTGTGTGCAAAATTCAATTTGAAGCACTTGATTCGGACGAGTTTTTTTTTTGTTTGCATGACCATAGAAGAACAATTCTTTTTATTTTGAAGACAAGCAGAAAAGAAGACGGAAACTGGTCGGTTTTGTGGACTTGATTTGCAAATGTGTGAATTGAAAATGTGCAGGACATTTTGAAAGTGATCGAGAACGAATGTCGATAGCACGAGCGCACGGTGAAACTGGTAATAATCAGAAAATTCGTTATTTCATCGGCTCCAATTCACACGCCATTATTTCATGAAACTTCCTAACAAATACACTCAACATGTTCGACGCAGTACAGGGCATAGCAAATAAAAATAAAAAGAATTATTTCGAGCTATAGTTTAAGAACAATTCAAGAAAAAAAAATTCTCGTTCTTCTCAAGTTTTTGTCATCGGTCAAAATGTATGACGAAATAAAATAGAAGTTGCGAATTGAAATGTGCCTTGTGAATTTTCTTCTCCTCACTTGATGTTCTAAAATACTTACGTTTGTTTTTCTTCTTCAAATATGGACCATGATGTGGATGCATTGATCTGGGATCGGGCATTTCCATTAGCGGATTGTACAATTTGCCAGGATCCATGCCAGGTGGAAAAAGCGACAGCGGCGAATCCAAGCCGAACACTAAAATTTGGAACAAATTGAATTGGAATTTAGATTTTTACGAGGAATTAAGGAAAATCCATCTAATTTCATCTTTAAAAAAAAATGATAAGGATGAGCGTAAAAGTGTTCATTTGTTCACTTTGTTATCTTCAATAAAACATTTTCTAACAAAGAATGAACGAATATGTTGAATCTTTTTTTTTCTCCTCAAAGCTGCCAAGTTTAAGTTGGTACAAATTATGATTTAATTAGGAAAAACGCGGATCATAATCGGAGAGCATGTATGTAAAATCACGTCACCGTCGTATTTGATGGCTTGCGGTGGTGTTTTGTGTTGGACAACACAACAAAAGAAAACAAAAACCAACTCGAGGTACTTAGAAGGAGTTAGTGGTTCGACCCAATTTACATTTGAAGAGTAGTTTTGTTTATTCCATAAAAGTAAAGAATAAATCGGATACCGTTGAAATGGTCGATCATTAAAGCGACTTGATGTGTTTTGTGCATAGAAGCGTTGGTCGATTTGCAGATGGCAATCGAGACTGACCTGAAGCAAAAAAAAAAAATCAACAACAATAACAGCACTGAATTGATCCGTGCGAGCAACAAAGAGCGCAATCGAACTGAGTCGATCCATCTGCTTCGGAGGTGAACGCGCCGCATTACTGTGCGGCGAGTGAATGCATGCATTCAAGTGAAAAATAAACTGTTCTTTATTACTCTAAATATTGTTTAATTTTCGTGTTGGACGCGAGAGTGTGCGCGCTCGTGCGCTCATGCTCTCGCTCCAGTTGCACAACAAAATCGGGTATATCATTTGGGATTAAATTGATTTCCGACACATCGACGGCATCGTTTGGATGCGTATGTGTGTTCACGAGCAAGAGAGAAATCGACCGGTCAATAAAGTACATGTAGCCTGTTGTTGCTTTTTCTTCTTTTTATTGTTGGTTTGATTGATTTATCTTGATTTTTGTATCATGTGTATAACAATATTATTATTTATTTCTCATTTATAGAAACAATAGAATCAAGCAGAGAAAAAGCAAAACGGATTGAAGTAAATTAGACCACTTGCGAGACTTGAAACCCGAACAGATTGAACCGTGATTATTCACTTTCATGTTTAATGTTTCATCGGAAACACCGAGCAAAACAACAACCGAACAAAAAGAAAAATAAAACATATAAACAAGAGTGCTATGTGTTAAGAGACTGAAATGTTTACCGTCGCGAACGATCTCTCTGTGCGCTCACAAACGGCGACTTAAATTCACCTGGCTCAACAATTTTCACCACATTTTGGATACCATTCGATCACGGCACGACTGTGAATGTTGTTGCCGCACTCTATTGTTTCACATTTCATTTTCCCGTTCAAATTGATATGTATTGTGTCCCTTTGAACACTTGAACACATTGTACACGAGAATTATTGACTCTCTCGAACATATCGTACACTTGAGCTACATTGAATGGCCAGTGCGATATCGTTTGTTTCGATAAAGTTCCAAAATTCAGGTTCATGCTTTCAAAATAGTAATGATGATTTGCGCATTTTATAACTCATATGTGCATGTTTCAGCGCTCTTTTATTTAATTTGTTTTTTTTCTTCTTCTCTCCTCTCGCAATCGAAAAATGATCTTGATTCACAATGTCTGACCATAGTTAACAATATTGAGAGAAAAAACGGTTATTAAAATCGTAGTTATAACTTTCAATGTACATTGTACAGCCACTTTGAAGCATATATCACGGAAATCTCAGAAACAGTTGTCTTCACGGAATAAATTCGATATTTTCGAATTCAAACGAAAAAGAGGGAGAGGGAAAGCGAAAGAAAATGCGAATCGAATCAAGAATTCAAACGACAAAATTCAATTTATTCCCGAAATAGCTTTCCCATTTCATAAAGAATACCGCATGGAAATTCGATTAGAGAAACATAATCGCTGTCATGTGAGCCAGTCGCTAGACTGAAAAGACAAACAACAACCATCTAGCTTTCTGCGATAAAATTTCCATTGCGTCAATTTAAATTCATGTCGCCGCAAAAAATGTGGCGCTCTCCGATGAACTATGAATGTAGCAAAAAACATCATGAGTCAAATATTCTCTTGGGTGTTATTTTTGGTGGGCTAATAAATAATGCATTTTCAGTCATGGAATATTTTTCTTTTTATCTGGGAATGAACTTCAGAACTTTACACTAGAGTAAATCACATTTCAATTTCCGGAGCATGCGTTTAATTTTTTATGAGCAAAATGGCGCTAAATTGATTGCACATTTAATTAATCACATGTGGCTCTGTTGATGATATAATTCACTTTGCGATGTGAGAAGATAAATGATAAATTATCATCAAGTGTCAATATAAAATCGTTGTTTTGCTTAGATTGATTCCATGGATGGGATTGAACGAGAAACGTTCCTCTGAAGCACATTTACTTAACACAATAAATTATTCGCGCTGAATACACGCAACACTCGTGGCATATACAATCAAAACATTAAGACCATTCTGTTAGACAGCTAGTCACTAAATAGCCCAACAACCTATCGATATCCAATATCTTTCTCCCTCTTGCCGTTTTCAATATCGTTAGCGAATGAAATTTATTTGAACGCGCGCGAAAAATGCTCGTGCGCTCATCTACACACACTTTTCTCCTCACCGTGGGGTGCGAACACATCAATATATCTATCGTTTTAACAAGCGCATACAGCGCGCGACCGTTTGTCTTGGGCGTTAAATTCCCCAACTCTCTGGATATTAATATTATAAAATGAGATATTTTATCCGATTTTTATGTGGAAAAAATTACTGCGCACCAACTATAGACGTACGGCATAATTTTAAATTATATTTTATTATAGAGTATCGAAATCGCGTCGACATCGCTATTTTGCACACAATTCATATTATTCTATGAATATCCATAATGAAATGATGCACATCTTTATTATCATCTCGACCGTACTAGAGAAACAAAAGAGACGAATAGAAAAACATTTTTGTTGCTATTTTCTTGATTTCATTTTTTCGTAGCTGCAAGTGAGAGACTATTGTTTTTGCGCCGCCGACGGAATCATAGTAAATGCAGTATGTGTGCGTGTGTGTGTTTGTGTGTGTGTGTGTGCGCGCTGAGAAATTGGCCAAAGAGATGTAACACATCATTTTGCGCGCCGTTTAACCTGTACGATATGCATTCGGGGCTCTCTTTCTCTCTCTCTCTCTCTATCTCTCTATCTCTCTCTCTCTCTTTGGCTGTGCCCAGCTATTGTGAAAATGATTTTATTCGCTTCGCGCTAATGTCATCGCACGATCGACACAAATGATTATTATGTGTGAACGATAATTTAAAATAATTAAGCGAGATTATGATCGTAAAAACCATGGACGATGGCTCTGAACAATCTTCGGCTGTCCTTCCTTCAAGGGATGTATAGAGTCGTTATCCGATAATACCTATCATTATTATCGACAATCAGTTACAGTAAGTGTGATACGATGCACAAATCGACTTCGAAAACGATTATCTTTTTTTCGGTTGTCTTCATCGTCGTCGTCGTCGTCGTCGACGCCGTCGTTTTCTTCATTCGCTTTGATTTATTTGATAAAATCAGTTATTTTAAAATCACCCATTAAATAACGCTTTTAACCGAGTTTATTTCATTTCCTGAGTTGCGATTTTTTTTCTGTCGTTCGTGGTCTTACTTCAAGTACTGAACAAACCGTTTCTTCTTCTAAATGTTTCTTCTACTTCTTATTTTTCATTATTTCCATTTTTTTTCTTTATTTTTCATGTTTTTTTTTGTCAAACGCTCGAAAAATACTCATGAAAATTAGATTATGGCCAAAATGTTTGTAGTAAAATGAAATGGTGACGATGCAAACGATTCGTGTGCATCAAGTGAAATTTTTGCCATTTGTACAACGAATGAATTTTTCATCACAAGCGCAGTTGCTTTGCACCTACGTCCATGTGCACCATTCATATTGGCTGTGTGTGTGTGTGTGTGTGCTTTTGACTAAATTGCAAAAACACTAAATTCAATATGGATAAACCACTGCAAAAACGGTGTGGCTCAAACAAATATGCTCTTATTTGAACTTGTTTTTCTTTGGTCGTTACAACTTTGTCTCCGCCGATTTTTTCTACTTACTTTTGATTTTTCAGATTTCCTCTCTTGGTACGCTTTGGCTTTTTTACGTTGTTTGCTTTAGCTCGTTTTATTTAACTTACATGGAACTCACATGCTTTTTTGCAATGTAATTTTTTTTTTTTGGATTGGCTTCATGGAAACTTCTTTTGGGGAAGTGCTCTGAAGTCATAGGACAAATAAAAGTCAAGCGCAGCAAAAGGAAATTGTAATCAAAGTGAAGGAAAAAAAAACCATTTCGGAAAAACGGAATATTAAATTCTAACCACCATTTTTTCGAACAAAACACGATTCCCAAGGAATTTCTGAATCTCAATTGAAACGGCAATTTTCAATTGTTCAACGCTCAAATTGGTAATTGTATAAAGTATAGGCTTACTGTGATGTGGCGGTGTTAGTGTCAATGCGGATGACATACCAGGAAATTGCAATGGCGACGGAGGATGTGGCGGACCTTCACGTGGATTGAAATGTGATTGTAGGCTCATGGGTGAGCTGGGTGTGAAGTCTGGAAGAATTAAAATGCATTGTAATTTAGTGCACACAAATTGATGGCGATTAATTTCTAAAGATAGATTAAAATGTAAACAAAGTCCCGACATGTTATTTCGAAAGGTACACAGCGATTTTTACGTCGAGATATTCATTATTAGGATTTTGTTTCATGTCATAAAATTCATGAAATTTTGAAAACCATATAAATCTTCATTTGTATCATTCATTGGTATAAACTGTTCTTTGTCCCGAGAAAAAAAAAACTCTATGAAACGATTTATCATTTGAGCAAATCACATTGGAAAATGTACTAACCTTTGTGCAAATTGTTTTCCAATTCATGGTGTCGCGAGTTCGGATGATGCAAACTGGCATTGTGATGATGGGCAGCGGCTGCGGCGGCAGCAGCTGCAGCCAACGATAAATCCATTTGGTCAATGTATGCATTTTCGCTTTCAAGCCGTGATTCGAGCGCTTCACGTTTCATATGTTCGGCTTGTGAATCCAAAAAGGCTTGACTATTGTGCGACGCCTGATGCAATTGACGTTGTTGCTGCTGCTGCTGTTGTTGTTGTTGTTGTTGTTGTTCCTGTTTATGCAATTGTTCCTGTCTCGATTGTGCCAAATGTTCGCCCTTTTGGTTGTGATGATGCACCGGAAATCCGGGAAAAAAACTTTGCCGACAATGTGAAGGTGGTCGATTCAAATGCCGAATGTCTTTCAGCGCTGTTTGGATGAGACGCAAAAGTGAAAATCAAAATTCAACCGAACAAAATGAGAAAAAGGAGTTCATGGGGAGGAAAAAGCAACGAAATTCTTACCTAAGCCTATCCGATTGTTATTATTGCTGTTGCTATTACTACTAGAGTTGTTGTCCTTGTTGTTGTTGTTATTGCTAACACCTTCGTTGTTTGAGTCTCTGGTATTTTTAATGCACAGATTTTCGGGGCCATCGGCATCATCCAGATCGTCATCGTGTTCGGGTGCGCTTGAGTCGCCATCATCGTCTTCGCAAAAGAATGGACGGCCTCGTTTCCTCAATTTGCGACCGTCCAGCGATAATTTGTCGTCATGCTCGTCAAGATCACGATCGTCTTCATCGAGATCATCATCCGCTTCCATGTCATCAACGCGCATATCATGCACGCCCGCCTCATTATCTGTGCAAACAAAGAGAAAAAAAAAACACACACACACACACACACATAATCATATCAAATGTTCTGCTAATTTCCCAACCAAAAAATAAGGTGTAATCTATCATATTCAGTTTTAATAGAACACGTTCAACTTGAAAGTGTTATCATTTGCTAAAATGTTTGTTGATAGTTTTTTCAGAATTTGTTTTTTTTTCTGTTGTCGGTTCAACAATAATAACAGCAGGAAAAAAAATAAAAACCATTTAATAAATTTCCAACTAACCTTCATCGTCATCGTCATCAAGCTCATTATCGGTCATGTCGTCCTCGTTAGCGTTCAGTTTGTCACGGATGATGGATTGTTCGATGGCGGCCACAGTGCAATCGACCACTGTGTCAGTGTCTAAATTGGCTGTATGATGTCCCGTCAACGATTCGATGCGTTTGTTCACCAATTTCCTTTGTTCATTTACATTGCTACTGTTACTGTGGCTGCTGCTGGTGCGGCTGCTGTTGTTTTCGATGCGTTCTTTGTGCATTTCCGTTTCGATTGTGTCATTGGCATCTGGTTCGATTGGTAGCGGTGATGCCGATTTGCTGGAATAATCGTGTGGACCACCTTCGCCCGACCGACGCCGTGGTCGTGCCTGTTTTCGTCGTGGCATTGGTGATGTACAATTTGTTTCACGGCTCTCGTTGGCCTGTTGTTGTTGTTGTTGTTGTTGTTGTTGTTGCTGATGATGATGATGAAGATGGTTTATCGACGACGATGATGACGACGACAACGGTTGTTGTATTTGTGTTGTGTTTACAGTTGAAGAAGTCGAAGCAGCAACCGAAATGTCAGTAAATGAATTCGAATTTAATAGACGCGGATGCTTTGTACCATTTTGTGCGGTTACCAGTAATGATGATGATGATGCAGCAGCAGCAGCAGTCGGTGCATCGTCATATTGTTCATTGACGGATTCGTTTGATAATTGTGGTGCGTCCAAGTAATCATCGCCGCCCAATGACGACGGTTCATCCAATGGATCAGCAGCAATGGATGCAACGTTGGTCAAATCCTTTGTAGCAACACGTTGCTCGACTAGACCACGGATTTGCAATGATTCGCCCACCTGGATTAATGTTTCTAAACGTTTTTGCGGCACACTGATTTCACCGCGATACATAAAATCAACAACGGCTTGCACCACCCAGCCCGGGAAATCTTTGAGTACGATCACAGGATGCTTGCACGGATTTTCGGCAAAAACATTTTGAAAAAATGGCGAACAGGCGGACAGAACGACTTTGTGAGCGCGTATACTGGTTTCGGCACACACCAACGTCACATCGACTAATGACTTTGTTTGTAACAGAGCATCAAACGCACGCAATATATGATTTTGGTGATTATTCCACCGCAAACTGTAATGTTCCTGTTCTGTCATTATTTTTTTGAAAGAAAAAAAAAACGTTCGTTCGTTCGTTTAGCTTCTATATCGCGCGCCCCAGACTCGCACTCTCACTCACTCTATTTGTTTCTTCACTCGCTCACACTCAGCGTTTCACTCTTGGCCTCTCTGTCTCTGTTTGGCTCTGTTTGTGTTGTGAATCAGTTTTGTTTGTGTTAATATTACCGCTATCTTTCAAGGCTCTTTCACTCTATCTCTTTTACTCACTGCACGCACCTTTTGCTCGATTTTATTCTATCTCTTTCTGCCACTGTCACCACGGTGTCTTTCACTGTTCAATATTGTCTCTTACTTTTTTTCTCGCTTTTTGCAACTAAATAAACACACTCTATGCACTGTTCGATTTGTAATGGCTGTAAATCAGTTTTTCGCCGCACTCGATACTCTTTGTCTCTGTCTTCATTTACGCACTCAACAACACTTTGGTTATTCTTATTAATTTTTATGTTGCTTCTTCTTTGTTTCGTGTGTGCTGTGTGATACCTTCTATATTTTTTTTTTATTCACACAATTTATTCCGTTTCCTTTCTCTTTGTTCGAAATCTCTCTCTCTCTCTCTCACTCACCGATACTCAGCACCGATGCACCGATATTCCCATTTGACTTTTGCTACGATTTTACTATTTTTGATGCTTTTGTTTATTATTTTTTTACTCTCTTTGCGTTGTTGTTGTAATCGGCAAACGCGCACGTTCGCTGATGATGATGATGTGACACACACTCTAACTCGATACGCGTCGTCGTCGTCGTAGTTTTCTTTTTTCTTCTTCCGTGTGTCGTTCCTTGCAATATTTTATGTGTCGGTGGTTAAACTGGCGTGAACAATGATTTTTAAATGTTTATCGCTTGCGGTAATTCAGATATCTGCAGAAAAAGGAAAAACGAAAAACAAAACAAAAACAATCAAAATAACAATGTATGAATATGCAGAATTTATCTTCCTTTTCGCTTGATTTGTATGTGGAATTATGATTCTTTTGTATTTTTGACACAAAACAACAGAAAAAAAACAAGCACACAGTGAATTACAAAAAACGATACAAAATAAAACACATCAGCATACACCGCACACACACACACACACACACACATACATAAATACACCAAACTCAATAGCCCAACTTTGAAATTGTCTCAGGATGAAATAAACAACTGAAAGTAACGTGCATATGCACGAAGAAAAAAAACAGTTGCACGACAAAAGCGCGCGCTCGTTCTACATCACACGCGCATCGACAATAAAGGAGAGAGTGAGAATGAACAAAAAAAAAAACCACAACGATGTGTCATTTACCGTCGCCTCCTCATCCAAATTAGAAAACCCTTTTGATTTGACTTTTATTCGTTGTCTCGATGCCCGTATGTGTATGCATATCTCTATTTTGTGGCGAAGTTTGTTTTTTTTTCGCTTTTCTGCTGACGATTTTCACTTTTATTTCATACAAAACAAATGAAACAAACCTAATACAGCAACAAATTGCTGTGGTTGCAATAAAACAAAAAAAAAGTGACACGAAAAAAAAGACAATAAACAAACGAAAAAAAAAAACTAACAGGATCACACACAAAAAAAATGACTGAAATGAATAAAACAAAGAGAAAACAGCCCAATCCTCACCGCCCACCACCAACAACTGAATTGAACGATGAACACAAAACACATGCTAAAAACAATTTCAAACACAAAACAAATGCACAACGAAAGTAAATCGACCCGATATTTGAAAGCATAATTCGTGTATGTTTTTCTCCTTTCGCCTTTCTTGAAACGCAAACCATTTCGACTGACTCTGACGGTTTGCTACACAGTTCTTGTTGTTGCTGCTGCTGTTGCAAAACGGTTTTCGGATGTGAGATTGCTGCCAACGAGAGAAGCATGGTGCAGGAGAAGAAGAAGAAGAAGAAGAAGAGGAAGACGACGAATAGAGAAAAAAGTATGTAAAACCACAACGGTATGTGTCTAAATGTCAGTGTCAGAGTGCTCGTGTGTTGGATCGCTTAATTGAGTCAAGACGGTAATAACTCACAGAATGCGTTGCGCGCGACTCTTCGCAAAACCGAATTCAATTCACAATTTGCACACCAACAAACGCACATGAATCGAAATAGAAACGCTACGAACAGCAACAACAATTTGCATGCCAACCGAAGAATTATGCCAAACGATGAGATCGATCGCTGGTGGTTTTTCTCTCTCTCTTCTCTCTCTCTCTCTCGTCTTCTTGGAATAACTTTTTTTTTCTTACCCGCCACTAATTTTACACACAACGGAAGCAAATATTTTTTTTTACGCTAATAATTGCTTTGATTTTTACTCTCTTTCCATCGGCTTTCACGTGAAAAATCCTCTCGATGGAAAAACCTTGACTTTGCAATGTATGTAAACGAATGAGCGAAAAAAAAAGAAATCAACAACAATAAATACAACTTACTCCAAAGTAAGACTCCAATTAGAATGAAAAATAGATGGAGAACGCATAGATTGTCACTGAAACGTATGGTTATCGAAACACTACTGAATGCACACAGCGGTCACTCATTTCGTATTTGCTTATATGCGAACACGAGATTGATTCGCTACACAAACACATCACACACATCCCAACCAAGTGGTTAGATTTTCGATGTGACATATTGAACGAATTGGGGAAGAGAGAAAGAGAGAGAGAGAGAGAGAGAGAGAGAGAGAGAGAGAGAGAAAGAAAAAAAACATAAGAAAATGAACAACCAATTGACAAGAGAGGTTGGTGATGTGTACGAATGAGAATCGAAGTGTGTTGTGTCAGTGTGAGCGAAAGGGTGATGCGTATGCGTTAGGGTTTTCGCATTTGGCCAGAGTGAGATACATGTGTGGCAATCGGCACGTATATATTCGGACACCGAACGATTAAAGATAAACACTTTTTGGCCAAAATGTGTTGACTTAGCGTAAAACGACCGCACACACCGAATCAAACGACCATATGAATACACTTGACTTACTATTAAGTAATTATGTATATTGATACATTGGCATCGACGCTGATATACACAGTAACATTGAAGGCGAAGGAAATTTCCAGACACTTTTTTCGTAATAGAATTTTAATAGGGGGTTTGTTTTTGTATTGCCTTCCAATCAAATTTATGCGGAATATTAAAAAAAAAAAGTCAAAAAAATCATCTGTCGCGATTTCGAAGAAGCTAGATTTTCCTTTCGCCTTCAATGTTACTTGTTGATAGTCAACAGATTTGATACGTTTGATACGCATTTTATAAATTTTTTTTTTCTAAAGAATATTGCGCATTATCCATAATTACGGAGGAATGATCGAAAATCTCTCATGGCATATAATTGGACAATGTACCATGTCTCGAAATATTTCAATGAAAGTTTTTCATCATTTGATAAAAGTACTCGATTCACGTTCTCTCTCACGTTCTCTCTCTCTCTTTCTCTATCTTTATTTTTCTGCGCATCAATTGAACTCGATTTTTTGCAGAGCTAGTAAAAAATGTCACATAAATGTACATTTCGGCTCGTTACATTCAAGCCCGGCTGTGGGTGAGTGGTGTGCATACTGCAAACATCATCTCAACTATGAACATAAATTATTTTACTGAAATTTGGATGCAAAAAAATAAAACTCTTGTACAAAGGGACACAAGATGATCTACTTTGGAGATGTATCACTACAAGAAGATGCGTCTAAACATGTTCATACACAATTCGATTTAGCTTAAATCGATCGCACATACCGAGTCAAATATATGAATACACTTGACTTACTATTAAGTAATTTGGTATATGTTGTTTATTGATGTATTGACATCGACTAATCAAAAGTACGAAAGAAATTTTTGGAGAGTTTTTGTTGAAGTGTCAAAGACTCTTATTGTTCCATCTTCTAAGAATCGTTTTGAGAAAATGCAATTCTTTCATTCGTTGAAAAATAATTCTCAGGCCATTCAAACTTTATTTGTTTTTCCTAATTATCTTGAGGGTTTTGCACTTTTAAGTGTGTGAAAAATGAGGATGTGGCATGAAACATGATATCCCACTTTTGGTTGTTGCCATATGAAATCCCGTAGAGCCCGGATCAAGTTTGGTCGAGAGTCGATAATTTACTAATATTATTGTTTTTGTGGAACAAATTGACATGTTTATCCTTTTTGGTTTTTAAATGAAAATAAACGAAGACATCAGCAGAACCGACTTTTTTCATACGTTCTTTCTACGGGTAAAAATTATTTTACTGAAAAATAAAATCTTTTATGTAATGAAGAAACATTTTAGATGTGTGGAATCGGGCTACAACCATATATTATGCGGTATTGTTATAAAAAAAAAAAATTCAATTCGACAAAACCAATTTAAAATTATCCATAACAATTCAATCATATAGTCGATTTGCGAACATCAACTAGACAATCACCATTGCCAAATCATTTTCCATTTATTTATTTTTTTATTGCAATCGAATGGGAGGCTGGATAGCAAAGCGTCACCAATCATCATATATTTGAATAAAATCAATCGGAATTTGGTGACGGCAGCAGTGTGTGGTGTTGAGCACCGTCTCAGTTTTCATATCGGTATGGGTTGTGTGTGTGTGTGTGTGTGTGTGTGTGAATGGTCCTCGTATTTGATTTTGTTGTTGCTTCTCGTGTTGTTTGCACAGCAAAGGCTATAACGGTAGTTAAAACTCACACTGGACTATTGGACAATGTGTTAAGAACGTATTATTCCAGTGCGAATGGTTAAATGTATCAATTTCGGTTTAAAGTAGAAATCTGACGGTCAAACATTTTGGTGCTGTGATTGCAGTAGAGAAAGTATCTAAAACACACAGTTGAATAGAAATCTGTAAATGTTTTGTTAATTCACGCTCTAATTTCTGTGAATGTTTGCGCAAAATGTTGTGTTTGCAAAGGTACCGATAGCCGAGAAACGGCATCTCGGTGTGCGCTTTAAGTCGAATGGTGTGTGGAAAGAGTGTGATGCGATGTGTGTGTGTGTATGAAGAGAGAAAAAGTGAGAAACGGGGAGAGAGAGAGAGAAAGAGGGAAGGAGAGAGAGAATACACTAATTTACGACAAAACCAATGAGATGAACATTTTGTATAATGTCCAAATGGTCATATTTTTGCGGCAATCATACCGTGCGGCAATTTTGATGGTGTCGATGTCATAATAGCCAGCATTTTTCATTATTTCATGTGATCCGTGTGAAATAACAAGCTGGAAAAAAAACCATTGCCCAAAATATGTGTATTGTTTCGGCTGTGTGATATTGCTATTTTCGGGTCTTTATTTTCCGATTTTTTTTTCTTGTTGTTGTTGTTTGAATGAGGCGATTTTTGTTGTCGCCGTCGTGGTCGTTTCTCTTATTCCATCTCTTGCCACACTCATTACAACCATCATTTGCACCATGCCACTCAATTCTTTGACTAAATGGTTTCTTTCAGCCGGTGCTTTTCTCGCTCGCTTCTTTCAATTCATTTCGGCAACACCCTGAATACACGAGCCATACGCACATACACACAACTAGAAACAAATCAAACAATTTTTTATGGAAATTCGTAACGACTGCTGGAAAATAATAATGGCGTTGAAAAGAATTATGTGCAAATGAATGTGTTACTGTATAGCCGTTGTTGTTGTTGTTGTTGTTGTTGTTGCTTTTTCCCTTCTTCTTTCTTCGTCGAGGGAAAACCGAACATTTTATTTATACAAGGCTGGTCAGCCGATTCTTTTTCATTGACAATAACGACGAAATGGGCACGCCAAAATAACACCACACCGAAATACATCTATGAACATATAGAATTGCCGTCAAACCGAATCCAATGACTTTAAACTATTGTTTTTCGGCTGTGTGTGTGTGTGTGTATTGGTGTTGGTAGCTCATTCTAATTAAAATATAATTTGACACACAATACCGCTAAACGTATTTAATACACATAGAAAAAAAAATCAACTAACGGAAAACCATTTCCACAAAACATAATCATACTTGAAAAAAAAAAATGACGCTGATACATCAAATTTATGCGAAATATTTAAAAGAAGACGATGAAAATCGTTTTGCGCCATTTCGGGGAGGTCGAAAGTTTTTTCTTTTCCAATTTGACGGTCAGCCGATTTCGAAACGTTGAGTACGCACTTTTAAATTAATTCACGCATTTTTGATAACTAATTACAAATGGCCTAAGATTTAATTGCAAAATGACAAACGGCCAGAAATGCTGTGACCAAAGATAACGGAAACATAAGTGTATGTGGCCTAACCAAGTAAGAAAGATTTTCCAACATCAACAGCAGTTTCGAGGGGAGAAACAATAAGCCAACAATGTTGGCCATGGAGAACGAAAATGGAAATGCTTCTTTTTGAAATGGCCAAAATGAAACACAATTTCAGAATTTCTGAATCTGAATATGAAACAAAATGCCTTAGATGCGAGATAAAACATGATCTCAACTATGAACATAAATTATTTTACTGAAAGTTGGATGCCCACAAAAAAAAACTCTTTCACAAAGAGACACAAGAATTACTTCGACAAACAGATGCTCCCGCACATTCGTCATATGCATTAACTTCTCACACTGCAATCGCAACGGCAGCAAAACTTCGTTTTTAAAATCATACGCCGCACAAAGTACATGCAACAATCATTACTATTAAACATACTTATGCAGGCTTATTCTTGCCAAAGTTGACAATTTTCTCGTTCACGTTGAACGACCAATGAAGCTGCATTGCATGAAAATCACACGAAAAACTTTGAAAAAATACAATTCGGCTAAGTGTTGCAACAATTTATGATCATTAGAACTTGTGCATGCCATATTCCAAAGACCAAACGAAAACCGTCTTGAAAAACGGAGATTTTTTCAATTTCTTCTAACGGGAATACATAGGGGGAGTCTTTTTTTACTAATACAATACATGTCCAATTACAATTGTCTTGCTGTTCTCAATAGAAAAAAAAATCAAATAAAAACTATTCCATTTAACTCAAAGAAAAAAAACGGAAACAACTTAAGAAATACCAAAAGTACTAAAAACCAAAAATTCGATCAAATTTCTGCTAAGTATTGAACTTTTCGCGTTTTTTCTTCGCAACGAAAGAGATGAGCAAATGTGCAGTGATTAAATGGCGTTATTGAGATGTTTGTCTGTTACAACGAAAGATATCACGTTTTTGTGTGCAACGATCGGCTTGTGCACATGATTTTCGCTCCGTATCTACACGATGAGTTCATGTAGCGACGACGATAATAAGCCAAAATGTTATCGTTAATCAATCATGATTCGGAAATTTTCTGTTATTATTTAAATTTATGTATCGTTTAGTAAGGTTGATAGAGAAAACGATCGGAAAATGTACCATCGGCGCCCCAGCCGATTTACAATGCACTAAACATTGGACGAGAAATATTGGATAGAAATGTTTCCTATGCGGGACGAGCATGAGACACACAAACGTTGTCTGAAGATGATGAAATAATTAGCGATGAAATTTATTAGTTTGATTCCCATGAATGAAAATTGCATTTTTTTTGTTCGTTTGTTGTTTGCTTGGAAAAATCGTGCATCCGATCGGCTGAATTTTGACCTGATTCACAATGGTATCCAACAGTTTTTTTTTCTTCGTCGTTGTCGTTGACGTCGTCTTCATCAATAGCTCGATTCGTTGACTAATCGAAATCAATCATGACTGACATCATTGATCACAAACACTTTTTCTTTCTGATTAGATTCCACTCTTTTCTCACAATCCACCACCCCGGTCTAACGAATAGTACATGCGTGTCTACCCAACATAGATTTTTGTCACTCTGTGTACCATTTTTTGTGTGTCTGTTTCTTTACTTTCGAAATGACGAATTTTATTCTATTTTCTTCATTAATTAGTTTGAAGATTTTCACACGAAGAAAAAAACATAAAATCATTTTTTTCAATACAGAAAGTAACAATTGTTAAAACGAATTTTGTCTTAAACACTCTTATTACATAGAACCAAAAAATGTGATTCAAAAATAAAATCAAAAAGAAAACTTGTTGAAATTCAACAGTTGAACCCTTTCTCAGAATCATTCCATCCCAAAAATATTAATAGAAACAAAACTGTATGAAAAAATTGGAAAACAACTGCAATTGGATAATCGGCGTTTCAAAATTCATTTGAAGGGGAAAATGATGAATCGTGATTATTGATTTGAAAACCGTTGGAAGTTGAAATTTTTTTATGTTCATTTGGCTTTTCTTATCAAATCTGAAGCCAAGTCAAAAATGGCCAAAATTCCACTAAAACACAACAAATTGCATTGCTAAGCTATTATTTGACACCGCTACATTTACGGAAGATAGTTTGAAATTCTCTTCAACAGCAATGAAATCAAATTAGAATTTTCATAACAACTCAAATGCACTTATAACTTGAAATTCAAGTCTTGAAAACTCCCAAATCACACATTTCAATTTAAATCACATTCATTCAAATTATTCTTCTCTCAAAATGAAAATTTACACAAAAAATGGAACGAGAAAAAAAAAGATCAAAAATAAAAGCGATGACATCGACGGCAAAGTGGACAAAATACGAAAAACAATTACAACTCATACAAAAGTTGCGCCAAATTAAAACTCTGTGCAAAGTGCCGAATTTGACGTTTTAATTCGATAGTTTAGCTTGTTTTGTAGCCAATAATCATTCAAAATATGAATATTTTGATAAAAACTACTCCAATTTTCAATAATAAGTCACACAACGAACACTTCTCATTCATACTCGTCCAATTTTCCATTCGAACGACACAAATAAATTCAAAATTTCAATCACGAAAAAAAAAAACAACGAACATACCTTAAATTTTGTATGTATCCAAAAAATTGTACTCGTTGAAAAACTTGGAAATCGGAATGTAATAAATGTTTCATTAAATTGCACAGCATTTGTTTTCTTCATTCAAGAGTAAATCATCACACATAAGCACATCAAAATGGATTGAACATGTTGGGTTGCACTTTAATTTCACATTTCATGTGTAGGTTCAAAGAGATCACAAAGTGCAAAAACTCGGTAAGTTTTCGCTGTTTCAAATTTTTTTTTTCGTTTCGAAGCACTCAAATGGATTGGTTAGTCAATTTGATTAGTCAAAGTGCTCCTAATATTTATTGCATATTTGATATGCCCGCTGGATCTCACATCGGTTGCGGTCATCACAGTCTTTGCGATGTAAATGGCGAGCATTTCCTAATTGCACGAACAAATCAAAGTCGAATCCAATCGATAAAATGTCACAATTACACCGTTCAAATTGTTCTGTGTCACAAATGTATCAGGCGGCGCGATCATATTCGAAAAAAATAGTTCCAACGAAAAGAAAAGAAACAAATCACGGTCTCCTTTGATTGTGAGCCATATGCTTGTGATCGGCGTAAAATGTGGACAATTCACCAATAGTAAACATTTCACCAGCAACAAAAAATGGTTGTCATTTGAATTTTCTCCCCAAGAAAATCCGGCCGCCAAGAAAAAATTTCTTATCAATTCTGTTTTTTTTTTTTCACTATCGACAGCTTCTTATCATTCGATTTTCCATCACATTTCCATTTAAGCGGCTATTTGGATTTGGGAAAACGGTTTCACAAATATTTTCACATTTCCCGTCAGCGCGAAATCTTTTGTTTCCACTTTTCCGATCAAGTAAAGATCTGTCGTTGATTTTCTTTTTTATTTGCACCGTTTGGAAAAAATTCGCAAAAATCAAAACCAAACAATTGTTTATTTTTTTTTTTTTTTTGTTGCCCAAAATTATTTTTTCTGGCTATTTCAAATCACGCGCGTTTCACAATTTTATCCATATTTACTCATCTATTCAATTCCGTTTCGAAACACTCGTTCGCGTTTGTTTTCTTTTTTCTGCAGTGGGAAATCAAGGAATAAAAATAAAATAACGACGAAGAGCGAAACCAAACACAAAACAAACCGAGTAACTATACTGAACCGAACATTTTAAGGTTAGCGCCGTGACTGACTTCGACCGACTGATTGTGTATATATATCGCTCGACTTACGAATAGTAAGTGCTTAAAATGCTACACATTATATTTTTTTTTGCTTCTCATTCGTTCCCATACACGCGCGGGACGATATGTACGGTAAATATTTTGTTTGGTGAAAATTCTCTCCATATAGAATAAATGCTGCTGCCTTCCAAACCGACGACTTAACGACGACGACAACAACAGCAACAACGATGACGAGCGCCGAACTATACAGCCAGTGCCTTCCACAGTCAGCCAGCCAGCCAGCCAGCGAGAGAAGAGAAAGAGAGCGAAACAGAGAAAGAGATGAAGAAAAAACACACACACAACACACGACAAACGAAAAATAAAACAAGCAACAAAATCGCTCAAACAGATATGTTTAAATGTTTATGTGTGTATATAGTCGTACATGTATATATAGGGAAAAAAGATATGTGGTGCCTTCGACTCAGCTCAACTCCATATACTACATGTGAAGCGGTGGATGAATGTGCGCGCATAAACACGAATTGTGTGTACTCGTATGTACCTACACTAGGGTGGAGTGCTTGCTGCTTTCCTTCATGCTCACAACTCGAACCCGTTTTGTCATATCTCCGATACACGAACAGAACGATGCTCTCGTCGTCAACAGAGCTAGTCATACGAGTCGATTTCATATGCCGATGAAAACAACAGCAACACAGTGCACTTTTTACACACAACCGCTGTACGACTCAGAGCAACGTTGTTTTTCCATTTTAAGCATCGACCATTTTTATAGTAAAGTCTAATTTGATAGACTTTTGCTATGAATTCCAATCAGAATAACGAGAAAATTTAATTTTTCTTGTTTTGTTCATTGTCAATTTGTTCGATTTGTCAATGGAAGAGTAAAAAAAAAACTAAACTTAGCGAAAAAACACGATTCAATCGACAAAAGAATCGAACTTGGCAAAATCATTTCTTTGACAATTACTCTAAAAAAAATTGACAAAGTCGACGAGAATGAACAAAACAATGCTGAAATCAAACTTATACTCAAATAAAACGGAGTGTCATCATGGTGAGCATCGAATGAAAACGAAGAGCATAAATCCATAATCGTACCGTTCCACCCTAATCTACACTCGATCTTTTCATGTACTGAATGTGTTTTTCATCATGTTCTCATTGCACACACGAATCGAATCGAATCGAATCGAACGGAATGAAATGGAGCGCGCGTGGAAAAGAGACGACACGACTCTTTTTCCACATTACATGTGAAGGCGATGCGATGATATATCTAGCATCGCGCACTCCGCATTTATAATAGGTTCTTCTGTTCGGTTGTGTCGGCTGGTGCTTTGCTGTTGCCTGTACACACGAACGAATAGATATATGTATTTATGATGCTTGTTTCATGTTCTCGGGATGTGGTATACTGAGTGAGTGGTACAGAGTAGCGAGGCGAGCGAGAGTTTGGTTGGGCGCGCGCTCGAGAGATCGAGAGATTTGTGTATGTGCCTTCTCTTCCACTTTACTTTCTTTCTCCATGTGTTTATATATTTGGTTCACATGTCTCCTCTTATGTCGAATCGCGTCGTTCGTTTCATAGCCTCTTTTAGTTGGGCTCTCCTATGCTAAGGGATTCTAAGCGTAAATCGAGTAAACGAGGTTTGTCGCTTTGAGCCGATGCAGCTGGAGGAGCCGTTGCCGCCATACTGTGCCGTCGTTGATGCTTCGACGAGCAGCAGCAGCAGCAGCAGTGTGTGGCACAGGAGGGAGACGAGAGCGAGAAAGCATTTTCAGTTAAAAGAAAAATACTATTTGTTTGTATATAATAACAATATATACACACGTTTCATTTACGACAAACGTTATGTGTGTACTGTGTGCTTCGTCGTTAGTCGTCCAAATCGGGCGCATTTTCACCACTTTCGCACATACACACCGACAGAGCGGCCAGCGCGCTCAGCAAATAATAACAACAACAACAATTACAATAATAGCAGCAGCAGCAGCAGCAAACGGCAGTAATAACAGAAAGAAAAAAACAACGAGAAAACCTAAGAATAAGAACAAGAAACACACACAGACCATACGAATGTAAAATTGAATATCGTGCGCATATAAGTTTTTTTAGCTCGTTCGTTTGCTCTTCTCTTTCACGCATTTCGGATTTTCCACTGTTTTTATGCTGTTTGTGCGTTATTATTGTTCGTTCACCCGTTTCTACTTAAGCTTTTTTTTTTCTTCATCTTTCTTCTTTTTCCCGTTTCGTTTCTCTTTCTCTCGTTTTGCCGCTCGTGAGATGCTTTTGATGACGATGATGGTTTTGGTAGTTAGTGGATAAATTTGTCGGTACGTTTTTTGCTCTCGCAACATTTCTAACCACATCTCGCACATTTTAAAGACATGGCAAGCTGGAGAAATGATGATTTCGAAGCTTTCACAGCGACCGATACTCGCAAAATTCCGCTTTATACTTTGTTGCTGCTGCTCTTGCTTTTTCTTCGCGTTATTTGTTCGGTTGGATCTTTTTTTATTCGGCAACTTTCTGGGCACGTAATTTGTAAACAAATTTACTAAGGAGGGTCACACATGCTTCTCATTTGTTTATACAATTCTGAAAGCGTCAAGCGACATTTGCATTTGCCGAACGGTTTTTGTGGAAAGAAAAACCGAAAAAATTCGATACGTATTATGGATTAGTGGGGGCGCGATTGACGGTGAACGATGACTGCAAACTCAATACCCATATTTAAAGCACGATCGTCCTGCAATCAATTCACTAGAAACTAGAACAAGCTTTTTCACACCAATGTGCGAACCGTGTTTTTTTTTTTCTCTTCGAGATGAAAAACCGAAAAACTTTTCACACGCATAAATTTTGTGGCCAGAAGTGAAGGAAAAGTAAGAAAAAGCGTCAAGAAAGAGAGAAAATGAGATAAACGAACAGAGCTGAGTAGAACGTCGTATGAAAAAGAGTTCAACCAACACAGATCACACAGCGACCAAGAAGAAGGGCAAAATAGATATTTTATGTACTGACAAATCGCACAAAAATAACATTTCATATATGCAGAGTGGAAAAACATACATTGTTCTGGCCGAACTCTCTCCCTCTCTTTCTCACTCTGTCTCTGGTGTGTTACATCTTCACATGAACATCTCGCATTCTCGAAGAACGATTACAACACGCTTGCGCATCGCAAAAAGTGATACACATTTTTCACCCATTTGATATATGCGAGTTTATGAGACGAACAGATTCATTGCGTTCGAGATGCTCGGCTCATTCGTTATTACTGCTTAAGCCACAGCCAAGCGATGATGTGTGTGGTTGATCCAACTGGCTGGATGGATTTCAATGGATTGAAACATACACATATTCAAGGAATGAAATCAATTAAGAACTGGAACAAACTGAATTTTGAATTTGAATTTTTGGTTTGCCAATTGAAGAAAAAAAAAAACGTTTAGCTCAATTTGATGAGATTTTGTCGAGAAATCATTTTTTGTTGTTGTTGAAAAATCATAAAATCTTTCGGAAAAGAAAGCCTGTCTTTTGAGAAGCAGAACAAAAAAGACTTCAAATCAAAATAATTTCTTTATTCGATATTTATAGCCAGAGAAACATCCACAATCATATTATTGCATCAGTTTAACTTTTCCAAGTGAAAATATCGACGTTTCGGAAGCCTTTCGTTTCACCTACAAAAATAATGACCGATTTTTGAAATCGTCCCAAGATTTACCCTCCGACACAATTAACAAAACGGTTTCTTTCTCTTAAATGTCACAATATTCCTCTGTTCACAGCAAACACATTTAGTTCGAATGTTCATTGGGACCGTTCATCTTCATTGGATCGGCGTTTTTGTCATTGCTCTCGGACACTTTATTGCACTATAATAATTTATTTAGTATTCCTTTTTATTCGTGTCTCTGGTTGTGTGTCCAAAACGACTTTCTTCAGTAGCTCTAAATGTTTCTTTGCATTGGCGACGACCGTGGACGTATTATGGACGAATGTCTTTTTTTCAAGTAGGAAAACAGTTTTTCGCATGTGTGTTCTGTTGTTGTTGTGCTCACATTTTTCCACTTTTTTGTTGTTGCTTTGCGGTAATTTCTTAATGGGCTTGCTGCGTTATCAATGGAAATGAAATTGAGTTGCAGCACTCACAAAAAGTTACGTATGCAAATCTACTTTTTTTTCCACATCGTCGTCGTCTGCTCGTGGAAGAGCATCCAGAAGGAACGTGCCATATGAGCTATTTAACATTCATGCGTTTTATTTGATTGCATGCGTGTTGTACACCGACTGAAAAGCCAGATGATTCACATATATGCAGACAGCATCCCTCGTCTCGTCATATGTAAAACAGCGGGTAATGATGTGTGTGTGTGTGTGTGCGCTCTGTTCGGCTTCTGTATTTATTGCGTACATTTGAAATTCCATTAACTCATTATTCAAATTTTTCTGGAAATCGTCGTGAGTGAACGACACAAATCCATTTTTCTTCTTCAACTTCGATAAATGTTCTTCAATACCGATTCGGATATAATGCCAAATGACTCTTCAAAGGAACACATAATGTGAATGTGGAACAACTGACAATTTTTTCGATGCAAAACAAGTGAAATGCTTTTTAAATTGCCGACGAGTAAAATAGATATGATAGCATCGAATTTGCATGTCATTTTCACTCTCGATTTCTTTTTTTCTTCTACAGACGTCGTTGTTAATGTTCTGTACTACAATTAAAATCGCATCGTTGCGCATTTCCGTTAGCAATTTTTTTTTTTTGCGAAATCATCGCATTTCCATCAAGTGCCTCTAAACTTTGATTGAAACCCAGCTTTTTGACCTAAAAAAACAGCCATGCGTCCCACTTTTGAATTAATTACTTTAATTCACTTTTTGTCGCCTCGGCGCTTCGGTCGAAATGTGTTACGGAAATGTGCAGAAAGGACTTGTCAAGCGGTTTGCTTTGTAATTGTTCTATGATTAACAGCGTATGTGTTTTTGCCTTGTGTTATTTCGATTTTTTAGCCCTCTTCGCCGGTATGTTTCTTCTTCTATTCGCATTTCACCTTTCTTCTCTTTCTCCTTTTTTTAGATTCTTCTTCTTCTTCTTCTTCTTCTTCTTCTTCTTCTTCAGTTCCCATTCTTCGATTCTACTTCTTCCATGGCACTTTGCGGCTTTATTTCTCCTTCTCTCACTTTGTCTTTTTCTC